GTATCGACTTAACTTAGAATAATTAAACCTTTATTTCACCATGGAACACAATTTTAAACCACGTGACATATATACAATATATACAACGACAATTTGAATTGTAACACAAAAAGTGTCATATATGTCTTGACTTACAATGGGTGTCTAAATTTGTACATAGGCGAGACGTCCACGCATCTAATTGATAGAGTACGAAACCATCGACGGGATTGTAATATAGAAAATGGGCCCTTATTTGTAAATAGACATATCTTTAAATGTGCAAAACACCTACAAGTAAAATTCCAAATGTTCCCTTTTTATAAAATGAAAGTCGATGACACCACGAAAAGGAAATTAATGGAAAACCATTATATTAAAAAATACGTTCCTCGACTTAACAGTCAATAAGTAACAATTGGCCATTAGCTTCATTAATTTTCTTAAATATATCCCAGGATTATCTTCAACTCGTTGTTCATAAATTGAACCCATATACTACAGATTAATTAACACACGTGTGTACATGTTATATTATGTAACCATAGACAATGGTAACTATAACCAATTAAAACCACAGTGTAACTATGTAAATATGTATAAATATACTATACTGTCCATCTTTATACAATGACATTATTTATGAATAGTTCCAAGACGGACGAAAAGTACTTTAAAATGTTAAAATGTTATTGAACCAGTGTTGAATCAGTTTTAGTCAGCATACCTTTTATCTTTTCATCGTTTACTGTGAAACAAAGTAGTGCAGCTTTACGGTTGTGCTAATATTTCTTGATATATATATAGGCAAAAGTATATAGAAAAAGTGAGGTTTTTAGAAAGAAAAAACTAATTCCATCTTAGCTAAAAACCTCACTTTTTCTATATACTTTTACCTGAGAGTAGAATCTTTTATTTATTATATATATATATATATTGAATATATACATATAGCTGCGAGGATAAAAAAAACCTCACTCCCCACCACGGCTATTAAAATTGTTCCATCTGTCTTACTGTCCGCCCGTAGAACTAGAATTTTTAAGCTTGGTGTAAGTGTCTATTAGGTGGATGTTTTGACTGGGTGCGATGATGAAAAGTTTGTGCTGATGCTAAGCAGAAATACACAATTTGATTGGTCGATGCTTTGGGACAGGATAACTTTGCTTTTTATTAAATTAGAGTGGTGAAACGTGATGTATGGTATCATTACATCAAGTTCGATAATGATCACTGTCGGCTCAGGTTAAATAGAGTGATAAATAATTTATTTGATTGGCCTAGATTTTAGAGCTCGACAATTTTCAACATATTTCCTGTTATTAGTAACATTATAGCAAGAAGTATCAGTTCTTTATCTAAATCTTATATAAACATGTTTAATGGAATAACTTCAGGTTTGGGTGGATATAATTGTCCGTGGTATGGTCTAAATATGATGTTATACGAATATGGTGTGGTAAAGATGCAATCTCTGTATTATACTGCAGGACCAGTTGATCACATCTGTCGTACAAAAGGGGCTCAAGAACCTCGACGTATAAACTGTCGTCTGTAGATGTACGAAATGCTCCTAAACTAATTTTAAGTCCTTGATGGTGTGATAAGAATCGCGGGCCAACCAATTAATACACAATACACCCATAATTGCGTTTTGATCTTATTAATGCTCGATATAATCAAAGTAAGTAACCAGTCAGTATGTGATAAGACTCCCAATTTCTTTTTAAGCTTTTTAATATGGAGGATAAACGATCAAATCTTATCAAATATTGACACCAGACATTTGTTTTCATCCACAACAGGAGGGATTGCCATCCAAAAATCTTTCTTGACATTGGTGCAAACTGCGTTTCTAAGAGAAATTCACCCTGCTGACCATTGTTAAATTGATTTCATACAAATCTGCAACTTAGTTCAATTATCCGCATGTCTGTAGAACCATAGCACATCTGCAACTCACCAACACAAAGAGATCCTTTTGTATTCGGTTTGAAACTCTCTTGGATAGTTTTAATTTTTATAGCAAAATGAGTTGGAGACAAAATACTTTGCTCATGAACTCCCATTTCCCGATGACATAGATGACTTACCTACAACTCGTGCTGGTATAGTATGAGTATTTACAATATATGACTTACGAACAACACATGTGATGGTATTTACAATGGATGACTTACCCACAACACGTCTGATGGTATTTACAATTGTGACTTACTTTCATGTTTATAATATCATAATTAATTAGATTTAATCGCTAAAAGATTATTAGTGAACGAACAAACAACTGTTCTCGGTGTTCGTCATAAATTAACTTATTTTATTTTATCTCAATGAAATTTGAAATTTAGACAAATTTTCATACGAATTATTTGATCTACATGGAATTTGTAATTGTGATAATTTAAATTTAGGCGTGCGTGTTGAACCAATAACAGCACTTCCGGTTTTAACAATAAATAATTCTCGCTTACAAAATCTTTGTTGAAAAAAAGGCGGTCTTTCCCTTTAAATGAGCACTGTTTTTTTAAACGCAGATAATGTGTTGACTCAAGTTTAGATTTTGACTTTCATCACGTGCAAGTGACCGGATGACCTCCACAGCCCCTGCTTTGGATCGACTTTTATTTCATTATTAATTATGGACCATAATTGTACTACGATATCGCCTCGATTTAGTTTTAATAAATATTATCACATATCGTCTACACGGGTCGTTTTATTTTACTGTGACTCACCTTATTAAAAAGAAAATCAAATTAAATATTCACCAGAATGTTTCGACATTACCTAGAATAATTAAACACCAATTTGAGACCACATGAAATTAAACACCAATTTGAGACCACGTGACATTTATACCATATTATCCATATTACATTGAATATATACATAGTTCGAGTTTAAACCAAGTTTGTATAACAGTTAATTGATTTTGAACTATCAGACGTTAACTACACTAACTAAAATTAGTAGCACAGGTGAGTGGTTTACGATGTTTGGTAATTATACATACAAGTAAACATGCATTATCAATTCGACTTGGAATACATCAACGAGTAATTCTATTACTTATTGTCTATTCGAGCTCCTCTTTCTAGAAGCATGTTTCGATAATTAGGGCGTGTAGGGTTTGGGGGTGATAACAACATAGGCGTACGGGACAGAGAGGAAGGGGGCAACTGCCCACCTAACTTTGGGGTAATCGGAATTGTCAGACAGACGGGTCAGGTGAAAACAAAAATTCTTTTTTCATCAATAGAAATCTTATAAAACACCAATTTTATTTTTTATTTTAATTGAATACCACGAATTTGTACTGAATTGACTGCGGATTAAAACATTTTGTCTGAAGTCACTATACTTTGTGCGACATAGTTGGGAATCGATTATTATTTGTGAATGCAGCTGCAACAGTCTGATTAGATGGTTGGAATTCGGGTCGGCATTGAGTGGGATTTCGGTTACAAAACCACTGTACAACTTTGGAGTTGCTTAACTCACGGGCTAGGATAGCAGCAAAACACATTTGCGGCGGTTACATTTTCAACATTTTCTCCAGGAGGGCGAGACCCCATTCCCCGCAACGATTGGTTGTTTGTTTGGGATTCGGGTCAGTCACCTAAGTTTGGCTACATTGGACTGCATTGAAGTTGCTGTATAGCAGAAAAACGCATTTGCGGCGGTTACATTTGCAACATTTTCTCCAGGATGGCGAGGACCCCGCAACGATTGGTTGTTTGTTTGGGATTCGGGTCAGTCACCTAAGGTAGGCTACATTGGACTGCATTGAAGTTGCTGTATTCAAAGGCTGGAATTTACTCCCGACGGTCCCGTCTCTGTGAACTGTAAACGATTGATTCGTTGATTGGAATTCGAGTCCGCCCCTAAATTAGACTTATAAGACCACGTTGAAGTTTTTGTATTCAAGGGCTGGAATAGCAGAAAAACTTGTTTCCGTTCGTCAAATTTATGGGTAGGTGGTGTCTCTATCCCGAATAGTTTCCGGTATTTACAGTTCTACCCCCACCCGTAACAGTCATCGAGTTCGTACGCCTATGACTAACAATATACCCTTCGTAAAAGGCGACTTAATGGATTATGTGCATTATGCATACGCACAGTCCATTTGCTGATTTTACCAAGATTTCGTCTTATGGTTTGGATGCAGCTATGGCGCCTGTGGCGCCAGGTAGTGTAACAATATTGTCGTTGCGACATTGTTTTCAAATATGATGGCTTAAATAATATTGTTATCTTTACAAATTATTGATTCTAATTTCATAGGCGAAAATATTATGGCCTTGTTTAGTTATGGTTAACAGAATTGTAAACACTCGAAACAGCACGGTAGGTCTGTAATGATATGATACATGAATAAACTAAGGGTTAATGAACACATTTATCATATGCCATTTTATATGGACAGGCATGGAATCGGGACGTCTAATCTTACTTGGCTTAAGGAAGAGAACCATTTTAATACAATAAGATTAATATAAGTTGTGATCTCCAGCCCCAGATATGTGACAGCTCAACTCATAGTATTATTTAAATTACTGCCTCAATCTATAATGCATATGGGGATGGTCTGATGGGAGGTGTTACCGTGTAGGGGTGACTAGCCTTATTCTAATCCCCACAATGTTGATTACGGTTTAAAAGGAGCAGTCTTGGTTATATCGTTAGATATCATGCACGACCTACTTAACCTCGATCTACGAGGTCGCTTATCTGTCGTCATTAAAATTCCCTGGAAGGTACAACTGGGATGAATATTTGTCGACCAATTTCCCCAAACAATGCTCACCTGGTAGCCATGGCTACCGTCAAGCCGTCTAAGACAATTTCTGTTCGTGCACTACAGTATACCATCATTACCGATTCTCTGTCATTTCTTTAAGCAATCCCCAATAAACAACTTGAATACTGCAAGCTTCTTACAGACAATTTAAACCATTACCGTTGTCAGAATTAACCTATCTATAGCATGTTAGAATTGACCAGTTTCTCTATTTCAGATTATGGCGTGCATGACGATGATATCATATCTAAGTGTCTTTGTATTCCTGTATTCAGGTATTTTGGTCATTTATTATATTATCATATTAATTATACAAAGACTAATGCATCCTCAGAATAACGGTATAATTTTACTTTTTACTAGCCAATATTTTCATGTGACTGTCCGTTCATCGGTTGATATCCCAAAGATCTCGGTTCCTTTCGATATTAACATGTTTCGATGATTGTACGAAAATTCACGGTTTTAGCTTGTGGGTTTTCTAAAAGTAAGAGTATTTATCCGATTTTGATGATACGTAAATGTATCTTTATAGCCCCACGATCTCGGCCCCTGTCAATTATTCGCGCATTTAATTGTGTGATGATAATAATGGAGGTGGTATCGTATAATATATATTTATTTACATCTTATAATCATATTGTAATAGGGGATCACGTGGCTAAGTGGGTAAGACGCTAGCTCGCTAGCCTGGAGGTCGGGTGTTCGATCCCTGCATTGGCCGAGAAAGTTCATCCAGATTTTCCGGCGTGGTTCTCCCTTGTCAGTGATGCAGGATGGAGGGGCTGACAAGGAAAGCTGTCTAGTCGTTCGGATGGGACGAAAAACCGAGGTCCAGTGTACACATTGGCGTGCACGTAAAAGATCCCTTGGCAGTTGGAATTCGATATAAGAGTAGGCCGTAGTGCCGCTGCCCGGGCAAAATTTCCCTCATAGCACACTGTATGGCGTATGCCCGTCTTCATTAGCCCAGGTTAGGAGCAGAACAGTAGGACGTTAAACCCCATTTCATTTCATTTCATTTCATATTGTAATAGTTTTATTACAGTAATATTGATGTTATTACCGTATTCTAGATATACTCTCTGATTTATATATATAATAATAATGGTGGTGTTATTACCATTCTAGACATACTCTCTAATTGTTTTATTATAGTAATGGTGGTGGTATTTCCATTCTATACATTATCTGATTATTTTATTGCCATTCTAGACATACTCTCTGATTGTTTTATTATAGTAATGGTGATGTTATTACGTATCATGTTATTCACATGGTTGGTACCATGTTTTTGTTATGAAAATGTATAGGCTTTACCACATTGAAATCACAATCTGATTCTTGTATTCCAGTGATTTTTGTCGTATCAAAAAGATTTTGTTATCGACCCCCTGGATCACCATGTTCTAATCATACTCTAACTTGTCCTAGAGGTCACCGTATTCATATATATGGGACTGTGTATGTCTATACCAAAGCAAGATCTGACGGCTGTACTCCACTACAAGAACAGAATGGTTGTGATAGTCACTGCTGTATCTGGGGTACTATTGAAGATATTATAGATACTTTAAGTCTAAAGGATACTTTACCTATTTATCAAGCCTGTGCTTATCAACAGTCCTGCCACTTTACCTCTCCTTATATTGCTGGTACTAGTTATGATTACGGATCATTTGCGTATTTGTGTATGCATAGTAAGTATTCTAATGATAACAGCTGTACATAAACAATGAAATACATATTTTTTTAAATAATGATTTTTAAAAATAAATCACAAGATGCAAAACAAAACGAGTTTCAATAAGGCCACACAAATATATAGCAGGCCACCAAATGTTTGTTATAGGTTAGAGTGTATATGTTAGAAATTATCAATATTGACATAAACACAGTAGCTCATCATTCGTATCATATTGGTTATTATTTGTTTATTTTAGAAAATAAATCTCCTATATAATTCTAAAATACCTTGAAAATACACTTTGAATACATTTTTTAAAAAAAAAATTATATGTTGTACAACTTCACAAATACTTTCAGATATGTGGGTTTCTGCAGAGACAAACGGTTTAAAATCCATGGACATGATTTTAAAAGTTCCATCCTATTAAAACCATCGTTTCACATTTATTCCCATGCTGTTTTTATTAAAACTTAGTAAGAAATGAATAACTAAATAAAGATGTATCCGCTCTATTCAACCAATAAACAACTGATCAAACTTTTAACTCTATAAACTCTCAGTATGAACGTAATAAGTGTATGAAGAACATATGTTATTTACATGTGTAATTTGATGTTGTGCTACATAAAAACAACAATAATTATTAATATAATAGTTATGTGTATGTTTAATATATTTTACAGAGTCTGATATATATAACATCATGACGAATGATAAAGTATCAAGTCAGATTTTTTTCAGTCTGTACTTTAGTGGTAAAATATCACCAGTTAAAGGATTAACATGTTCTTGTAATATAACTAGTGCTAGAAAGTTTAATTTTGAAACCAAGTACATCTACTTGGGTGGCGAATCGTGTAACAGGGTCATAGTAACAGTTGACGATAACCCTGTATACACATGTGACGATGATGGGGTATTTCTCGGATACAGCGACAGTGGCCCGATCTACAGGAAAGCTACGATAGACTTCAATAATATGACCGCTGGCTACGATGATGTAATATGGATAGAGTTTAACGGTGGGTTTTTTGCAGGTAATATGGATGGTATAAATGAATATATATACGTACCCTTCATATTGCATGCCGATTTAACAAAATTTTCTTATAATATTATAAGCTAGCTGTCTGCCCTCTATTTAGATTAACGTATAGAAGAATTGTTTATGTTATGTAATTATTTTTTTAATAAATTTCGGTTTTAATTACCTTGTTTATACTTACAAGCTGAAAAAATACAATTAGATGACGTATTTGTAGTTTTATTAGTCCGGTTTTACTTTATTGTAGGTCCTGAGACGGTGGAGGCGTCATGTGGTTGTTTTAAACCAGGTGAATATTTGTATTTATCACAATGAAATGTTTACCTACATGTCCAATATAATTACTAGTATTACACTAATATTAGTGGGTTATATTGAGGATTGCAAGAATAGACGGTTTTATAATAATAAAGACAGTTTTAAAAACAGGCAATCGAAACACACAAAACAACCAATTAGAAATTACAAAGTAGTTGAGAGTGCTACATTTGATTTTACAGGCAATCGAAACACACAAAACAACCAATTAGAAATTAGCAAAGTAGTTGTGTGCGTTACATTTGATGTTACTAATGCGATATTACAGTAGTTGAGTGTGGTACATTTGATGTGACTATCACTATATTACAGCAGTTGGGTGTGATATATTTGATGTTACTATCACTAAATTAGAGTAGTTGAGTGTGGTATATTTGATGTTACTATCAATATATTAGAGTAATGGTAGTAAATAATACAGCTTACATGTATTGTTACAGTGATAAATGGTGGTTGGAGTAACTGGTCGGAATACAGTATCTGCTCTGCCTCATGTGGTGGGAGTACAAAAACCAGGACAAGGAATTGTGATAATCCTACAGCAGCTAATGGTGGAATGTATTGTACTGGTAACTCTACCGAGACAGTTGAATGTAATCAACTAGAACAGTGTCCAGGTTTGTAATTTTATCATTGGTAGGACATTAAATCCCATTTCATTTCATTATAACACTCTATCGTTATATATATCAGGATCAATCTATTGTTGTAAATAATCACATGTTTAATATCAGTATAAACAGTATGTATATTTATTTTACAGCCGGCCTACAATTTGAGATTATTCTAACTGGGATTATAACTGGTGTTTTGGTAGCCATCATTCTTGTATGTTTTATAACATGGTAATATCTATATCATTATATTTATAAATAAACTGCAATATTGTAATAACAGTGGAGGGGTGGCTGGGGGGGGGGGGGGGGCACGCGTATCACAAATTAAACTGACAAGCAATAAATAAATAGTCTACATTTTGACGTCATTTGATGTACTATCACTATATTAAAGCACACTGTGTTGCATACCCCCCCCCCCCCCAAATACACATAACCTTCGTTACTATGGCAAGTACCGAAAAGTAAGTCGTATTATCCAATTTTTACAGTTACATTATCTAAGAAATCTTTTGAGCCACATATTTGTTACGACCGATCACAGATAAAATTTAAATAGTCGACAAGATAGTCAAGTCATGATTACCAGCATAGTCGACGAGATAATTAAATCATAAATACCATCATAGAAGACATATATTCCCTGATTTTTTTTAATAATGCCACTCATTAATATATGCAAATAGATACACCAATAAGAATTAATATATGCAAATAGATACACCAATAAGAATTAATATATGCAAATAGATACACCAATAAGAATATGCAACATTTTATTTGCATATTAGGAGCCACGTTGACTAAGTGTGCAAGACGCTGGCTCACTAGCCTGGAGGTCCCGGGTTCGATCCCTGCATTGGCCGAAAATTCCTGTGTATACATTGACATACACGTAAAAGATCCCTTGGCAGTTGGAATTTGATATAAGAGTAGGCCCTAGAGAAAGGGAATATGAGCAGATAGAATATTATTGATGAAAAAAAAATAACAATATTTTAATTATCAGGTTTATAAGACGAAATATCACGAAACCTCAACCAACTGTCCATTATGAAAACACAACAGGCCATAATGAAAACATAACAGAAAATGTGTATGGCATCATATAACAGATGACTGTCGCTAATGTGCATGTAAACACACAAGGGCAAGGTGAAGTAACAAGTCACCATGGCAACAACGAGGAAGATACATTAATGTAATTTAAGAAATGAAATAGGGCCTAAAGTCCATTTTTTCTGTACAGATTAAGTAATCTAATTAAGTGACTTGTAATCAAACTTAATTTGTATTTTTCTTCTGATGAGTGTGGAGTACCACATGAAACTTTAAGTAAAGAACTTACAGATTTCATATTTTTAATTATTTAAATTATTAATTACAATTTATTAACTTGTCAAGATAATAATCCACTCTCGATGCCATCGGATGCTTTAGATTTTCAACAAAATTAAATACGATTTGCGGTTAATGATTTAATTTAAAAATGGATAATCGGCTCTTTGTTTATTATTGTTACAACGGTAGCAATGACATTTGTGACTAAACTAATTTTACGGAAACTTTCAACATATTTTCATTATCTATCTTTTTAAACTATTATAGCGACACCTGACAGCTCTTTGTCTAAATTTTACATGATGTGTGTTTAATGTAAATGTTTTAATGTCAGTATGTACATACGGCGCTGCTATTTGTTTTTATCCTTGTCAGGAATTTACCCCCCCCCCTTTAAATCATAGTCCCACATCCGGTTTGCTTTTGTACAAGTAACTATGGTAATCTTAAAAACTTAATATGAATCATATTAAATCTTTTGATGTTGTTAACATTACTAAAAACCATTTCAAATGTTTGTACATACATATGTAAGTAACTGTTTCGTATCAAATATTATTTAAATGTGTAAAATTTATGTTGTAATATGTGAGATTCTCATAATAAACTTTTAAAGTTGTGTTTTTGTTTTTAACCGGAGAAACCCCCGTTAAATAGCTGTGAGAATTAAACAATCTGACTTGACGCCACTTCCGCAGAACAGAGACGGCTATATTAGGTGAATGGTTTTACTGAGTTCAATGATACAGTGATAAGCAATTTGATTGGTCTAGACTTTATAGCTTGGCAACTTTGATTCTAATTGATTGAAAATTTAACTTATTTTAATCGATAATCCAGACGTTGTTTATCATCGTAACAACGGTAGTAATGACAATCGTGGCTACATTTTTCTGCAAAGATTGTGGCTTTTTTGGTCTGGAAAATATATATATTTTTTTTCCAAATATAGCCAAGTTTGATGTCTAATTGTATGTTTTCGGGGTCGAGGAATTGTGTTGATATACGAACGGAAGCAATAAGAGTGAATGAAATGGAGGTGCTCACTAGTATTTATCACTTGTTACGGATTAGAGTTTGTTAAATAAAAATCTTACTGTCAGGTTCTTCCTAGTCCGTAAACCAAGGCGATTTATCTTTGCCTTGAATATAGTTTTTTTACAGAATGGAATGCCAAGAAATGGTCAAGTAAGAAAAGAAACAACCTGATTCGAAGTCGTCTTACAGGCTTAGACGCACTAGAGCTAATTTGCGGGTATTAATGCCTCCAATCTGGACAGTTCGTGGCAGTTAGATGAGAATCAAGCATTAAAATAACGTTTTAGTGACTTACTTGTTCATGGCAGTGATAGTTATTAGTGATTGAGATTCCGACGAACCTCTTTCACCGTTATTTCTTCCGTCCGTATGCTGGTTGCCGTATATCGACTGAAAGCCATCACAATTGAATTCCTTTACCCCGCAAACGTACAATTAACACCAAACTTGGGTATAGTTGGATAAAAATATTTGACCACATCATGTGGTTCGAAATTGGTCTTAATGATCACCTGGCGCCTGTAGAATAGTAAAACATTAACGTGGATCTATTCCATAATATATACCATGGGATTGGACAATTGGTTCGCCTTGTAGGGTGGTGTGCGTATTTGATAACTGCTTTGCTGGAACTATGGATGGGGTTGTTGAGGTATAAAATGTAATCTGGGGAACAATAAACTTGGTGTTTGAAATCAGTTTTTACAGAATGGTAATCTGCTCTATTTTTCAATATACTTAACATAAAATAAACGTCTTGTAAAGGGTAGATTCTTTTTAAGGGAATCATTTACATTATCGAAGTCCGTAACTTGCTTTGAGATCAAATGAACATGCTAGATCGACGTATAAAGTAACATTTTATTATGGGATGATGCTGTTGCTATCGATTGTTGTTAAAGTAATTTCCAGATCAAAGTTGGTATCCTATATACTATGTTAACGATTCACAATGGTAAAAATTCATGTCAAACTAATCTATAAGGTGATCATCATCAAGACCAACATCGCAGCACGTGGTTTTGGTCACTAAAACTTCACCCTCAACCCACCCCCACTTACATAAGTTCACACCAATTTCTAGTATTGTACCCTACCCGCAATGTGTAAAAGATCCATTTCACACGATTAATTAGTGAAAGACATTAGTGCAACAGAATATGGTTTCGTGGTATCGTTGGGTTTGTGGGGTCATCCTCTACAACATTTTCAAAGTTCTCTGCTAAATTACATCGGGGATATAAGCGATAACATTAACATGGAGCATTAAGACAACTATTCCGCCCTTCTGCCTCGGCAACGGGTTACAGATAAGTCCATTCACCGTCCCGTTCTCCTCCATTCTCATCTCGTCGCGTCTCTTCTTGGCGTCTCTTCTCTGCTCTCCGCTTATCCCCGGACCCTCTTCTACTCAACTACACAAAACACAAGGTCTTATATACCTTCGTATATCAAAAGCATAGTCACTACATCTTGGAATTATTACGCCCACAATTAAACACGTGTATACACGCAGTAGACGTGTATATCCTATATCGTAGATGAATAACGCACGGGGTTCAATGGGTTCACACACGCAGTGGACGTGTATATCTTAAATAGTATATGTGTCTAAGGCTATTCTCTGTCTACGGTTGTATGTCGTCTCACTTATTTTTCATATATATTTAGGGAGGTGTGCCGCTATTTTTTTCATATGTTCCAAAGTGTGCCACTGGCAAAAAAGGTTGAGAACCACAGATTTAAATTCATGATAATATGATACAAGTTATGAAGCACTTTGCCACAATATCTTCACAAATTAATTTTACAAGTAGTATCAAATATCGTCTACATGTGTCATATTATTTAGTTTCCACGATTTACCTTATTAAAAAAATCTTATTACCTCGCGAATAACATTAAATGTCTACCAGAATGTATCGACTTTACATCCACCAGATATTTAATTTGATTTTCAGTTTTAATAAGCTGAGTCGTGGAAAGTTCACAACAAAATAAAACGACCCGTGTAGACGATATTTGATAATATTTATTAAAATTAATTTGAGACGATATCGTGGTACAATTACGGTCCATACTTAATAATAAAATAAAAGTCAAAAGCAGGGGCAAAAGTACTACAATGTGGCGGTCATCCGGTCACGTGATGAAAGTCAAAATCTGAACTATAGTCAACACATTATCTGCGTTTAAAAATAGAGTGCTCATTTCAAGGGAAGACCAACCGTTTTCAACAAAGTTTCCATGAATCTTAAATGTGTATTATGAAACACTCCTCCCTGTAACACAAATTTGTATTAAAACCGGAAATGTTGTTAATGATTTTAACCAAAATTTATAAATAGAACTAGAGGAAGTTCAATTACGTAGGCCCTTGGTCAACCAATTGGCGCAATTCACCATTTTGTAAGTGGGAAAGTTGGCTCAGCTGAAAATAGTGAAAACGTGCTGTGTTTTCGATTGCTACAACCGTTTTTCTAAGGATTAGATGATAAGTTACCATTCTTAATTTTCGTGAGACATTTGCTTTTTTATAGTGCACAAGTATACAACTATCTACGTAATTTCTCATGTTTACCACATCCAGCTACAATCAGAAAGTGGGCGTCAAGCATAAATTGTGTACAGGGTTATTTATCAGAAATGTTTACATTCCTTAAACAGAAATTATCCTCTGACCAGAAAATGAAATAAGTTGTTTTGATGTTTGATGACATGTCTATAAAACGAGAGTATACGTATGATACCAAATTAAAGAAATATTCTGGAACTGCCAATTACGGATAAATTCAAGTTAATTCTTTAGACACTTTAGCAACAGAAGTTTTTGTCTTACTTGATGTTGGATTCAAAGGCCATTGGAAACAAGTCAACAGTGAGGCGGATTGTCCCCCGCCGAAATCCCAAAATAAATAGAGGAAACATATTAATTAATCGCACATTTATGTTTTTCAAAAGTATCGAGCAATCAAACTATACACTAAGTTTCATCACTCTCTATCAGATAGAATCAAGATTATCTTGTCCCAGAGCATCGACCAAAGAAATTGATTAGCTCTGCTTAGCTTTAGCTCGAAATGTTAATTGCTTATCGCTCCTTAGCCTAAGCAGTAAATTCGCACCATCGAACTTAGTCAAGGTAATGATATAATAAATCTATCTTCGGAATTTCATCGCTCTCACTTCACAATAACTAAACGTTATTGTGCCACAAAGCATCAGCCAATCAGATTGCTTATCTCTGCTTACCATAAGCAGACAATGTTCATCATCGAACTCCATCAAGGCATTCACCTAATGAACGCCGCCTACACCAAGTTTGAACATTCTACCTCAATTAGAAGTCTCGACCAATCAAATTGCTAATCGCTCTGCTTACCTTCGGCAGAAAATGTTTATTATCGAACTTAGTCAAGGAATTGTTGTAATAAAACTATACACCAAATTTCATCACTCTCACTTAATTAGAACCAAAATTATCGTGTCCCAAAGCATCAACCAATCGAATTGCTTATCTCCGCTTACCCTAAGCAGAAAACTCTCATCTTCGTACTCCATCAAGGCATTCACCTAATATAAACCTACGCCAATTTGAACATTCTAACACAATTAGAATGAGAGTTATTGTGTTCCCAAGTCTCGACCAATCAAACTGCTTATCGCACTGGTTAACCTGAGCAGTACATGCTCATTATTAAACTTAGTCAAAGTATTGATGTAGTGAAACTATACACCAAGTTCCATCACTCTCACTTAATTAGAACCAAAAATATCGTGTCCCAAAGCATCAACCAACCTAATTGCTTATCTCTGCTTAACCTAAGCAGAAAATGCGCATCTTCGAATTGCATCAAGGCATTGACCTAATAAACACC